CCCCTGCGTGGGAACCTCTTATGTTATTGAACTGTCATTTAAATAAAAGTGGGCTAAAAAAGGCCTTAAAAAAGCGAGTAGCTGTGTGCGTTTAAAAGCTCTACCACTTTGAAGCGAGTTCCCACAATATATATATACACACACACACACACACATATACATATATATATATACAGTATATATATATGTATATATACACACACATACACATATACACACACATACATACCACATACACCCAGACACATGGAAAAAATGGATGGAAATGAATGATGGAATAGATTGAGAGCTTAATTGTAAAACTGGCATAAGAATCGCTGGTAAAAAAAAAAAAATAATAATTTATATAGAGAGAATCCATAAAATAAACATATATATGTAAATGCAAAAGCACAATTGCTATTTAAAATTTAAAAAACAGGATGCTTTTATTTTATTATGTGTAGTAAAGAATAGTGTGTGATATTATAAAAGATACCTAGGTTGAGCAGATAGAGACTTCAGTATGGCAGAGTTCCCATGGCAAGGAGATATTCAGCCACTGAGTGTCAGTATTCCAGCAGTTCAGCCTGTTTAGTGTGGCTGGCGATTAAAGTAATGGATTAAATACTGTAGGACCGCCTGCAGGTGGCAGTGGAACACACGCCGGCTAATATGCACTACTGCGCATGTGCTGTGCGTTCCAGGGGCCATATTAAAGAGGATCATGAAGCAGGAAGTCTGACACAACAGCCCGTACAGCAAAGAGAGATCAAAAGGGCTGAAAAATGACCAACCCACTAGACCTTAGGAGATTTATATTTAGTTATTAAAGGACCTTAAACAGTACATAAATAAATATTTGAAAGGCAGAAGGTGCCAACAGTTCACAAATGCACCCTAGGTATAGGTACAGCGCCATCTAGTGACAGCTTTATCAATTGCAGGCTGAATTATTAAAAGGCAGAGTGAGTTGCTATCTTCTGCTTAGTGTCAATTGATAAGGAATAAATTCAAATCAGTGAAGATCAGGGAATCATTTCTAATTATGGTGTAGATAAATACTTTTTGAATAGTTTTTAGGGAATTGCTACCTGCGCATTCCTAACGATCGGCATATTCTCAAGAGCAATAGTAGGATAATTTATAATATATAATAAAAACTATATATACTAAACACTAAAAGGGAAAATACCTGTATCTTTAAAACACACAAGATATACCACCCATTGTATAGTATAAGAAAATAAATGTAAGAATATACTAAAAAAAAAACAAAAAGGTTTTGTATGCAAAAGGAATGGGGGGGAGGATAACTTTGCACAGATCAAGAGACAGCACGTACTTAGAGCAGACATAGAAGTATGTGTATATATTTTAAAATTTGTTAATAAAATTTTTTTAAATTAAAAAATCCCTTATGTAAATTATTAAAGAATCTTAATAGTAAAATGAATACAATAATAAAATCGACCTAATTAATGTGGACATAATCACTCAAGGTCAAAACAGGGGAAGAGTCAAGGAGAAGAGTGTGTATGTGTGTACATACATACACACATAAAAAAAAACACATAAATATATATTTGCAGCATAAAATAGATGGCAATAAAATGGATCATGTAAAACCAGGCTTCCGTATAAGCAGGTAAACGTAGCCTAAAACAGAGTGTGTGTTTCTAAATCATCATTAAGGCCTTTTGGGGACAATGTATCGAGTGTGAAGATCCAGAAGCTCTCGCGCTTGCAGAGTCTCTGGTGTCTTCTTCCATTGTCAATGTCCTTAGGGATGGCTTCTATTCCAAAGACATTGATCCCACTGAAATTACCTTGATGGACTTTTTTAAAATGTCGAGGTATTGAATATTTGTCTTTACCATTCTTAATGCTACTCTTGTGTTCACTAAATCGCACTCTTAGTGGGCGAGATGTGCGTCCCACATAGAGTAAGCCACACGGGCACAATAGGCCATAAATGACGAAAGATGTCCCACAGTTGATGAACTGTTTGATAATGTACTTTTTCCCCATCTGTACCAGTGACATCACGTTTCCACACCTATAATTCCCTTTTTGGTCAAAAAGACCAGCCCAGCCTCCTGACAGGGATTTGGATGATAGTGATTTTAAGAAGTCTGCTGGGGGCTACAAGGCTTCTGAGATCTCTGGGCTTTCTGAATATGAAACAAGGTTTTTCAGGTAGCATGTCACTCAGAGTGGGGTCATGTTTAAGAATATTCCAATTTTTGGAGACAATCTTATTAATGATCCAGGATTTATTGTTGAATCTAGTGCTAAAGCGAACTTCAATGGACTCATTTGAGCTGTCTATTTAATTTGTTAGATACAACATGAAGGGTTCCAGAATTGTCATACATTTCCAAGTATTTGTTAAACGCTGTCTCAATGAGATTGTGTTTGTAGCCTTTATAAAAACTTTTTTAGAATTGTGCTTTGCTCAATATAATCTTTTTTTAAAGTGCAAGTGCGTCTCAGTCTGCAGAATTGCCCATAAGGCACATTTCTAATCCATTGAGGATGATGGTGACTTTTAGCGTGCAAGTACGAATTCCCTGCAGTGGGTTTGAAATGTGTCCTGGACTGGATATGACCTCTCTCCCATGCCTCAGCTCAAGGTCCAAAAAGACTAGTGAGTTTTCATCGATTACATGGGTAAATGAAATACCATAAGGATTTGTAGCACAATGATATAAAAATCCCGAAAGTTGTACGTCTGACCCGTTCCAGATTATCAAAATATCATTGATATAACGAGCATATAGTATTAAGTTTCCACTGTACAGGTTGTTGGACCAAATGAAATGACTCTCCCAGTGTCCCATAAAAAGATTAGCATAGCTCGGCGCAAATTTTGCACCCATAGCAGTGCCTTGTATCTGTCTGTAGTGCAGGAATACAGGAATTAGGCTTGTGAATAGTGAAAGCTTAAGACTCTCGTTAAAAAGTATTGTATTGCCCTTAGTCCAAAGTCGTGTTTGATGGAAGTGTAGAGTGATACTACATCAAGAGACAGCCATCTGTACCCTTCTTCCCATGTACAGTTGCTCAGTATTTCCACGATATGATTGGAGTCTTTTACGTAAGCAGGAATATTAACTACAATATCTTTCAGAAAGAAATCAATATAAGCCCCTAAATTGCTAGTCAAACTGTCAATACCCGCAATAATAGGTCTACCAGGAGGATTTTCACTATTTTTATGTATTTTGGGGATATGGTGGATAAGGGGTTCGCTGGATGTTGGATATATAGAAAAAAATAATTCGTTATTGTTAAGTACTTTATCAGTAAGCGCGTTTTCCAGCAATATTTTAAGCTCTTTTTGATATTGTAATGTTGGGTCAGTGGAGAGGACTTCATATGTGTCTTTATCATTCAATAGTCTGAGCTTCTGCTATATATACCTCCCAATCCTGAATTACCAGTCCGCCACCCTTATCAGCTTTCCTAATGATGATGTCTTTTTTATCTTTTAGGCTCTTCAGGGTGTTTGATAACGGGTTCAGTGTAATGGGGTCAATATGTTTGACTGAATTTTCATTACAGATTTTCTTAAATTCACTTAAAACTGATTCATAAAAGGTAGGGATGTAATGGCCTTTCACCCAATGGGTATAAAAAGTGGATTTAGGTTTGAACCCAGTGTGCTGGACTTCATATTGAGATGTTAAAAGTCTTTCTGATGTGTACAATTCCTCTGTCTCATAATCTAACATTTGACCCTCAGCATAAAGATTTTCCAGTATCTCCAGGGCTGATGTATTCAGCGAATTATCACTTGGGATGTCACATGGCGTAGTGGGAGGGGGGCTTGAATGAGTTTCCATACTGGGGGTGCTTGATGGTCTGATGTCTTAGAGGGTTTATTTAACCCTCAGGCTCTCCCTTTGGTTTGTCCCCACATCGGCGGGGTGCGGGATTACAACGTGGAATGATACAGAGAAGATTAGCTGGCCCCTGCGTAAGGTTGACATGCTAAACACATGAAGCAGTCCACGGTTTTTTCTTGCACCAACATTCATTCAATTCAATGTTTTTCATTTGTTCCATTTTTTTTTTTTATTACTCTTATTATCAATTATTTTCAAAAATAACAATTACAAGCTGCAGGTTATGGTTACATCGCAACTGAAAAAGCTGCAAGTACCCTAGCAGCTTCTCCTGCCAACATTCTCTGAAGAAGAGCAGCACGTCTATGGGCATCCCACTGCCCTGTTAGTCTATGGGCGCTCCATTCTCTCACTCCTTCTATTGGGTCCCCTTTTTTCACAATACCTTTCTATACGGCCAGCTCTGGGAAAGGTCCCCTAGCACTAGAGGTGAGGATGCCAATGTGCGCCCCTCCCCCGAGCTCCTTCATTCGAGAAAACAAAAAGGGAAACCAGGGAACAAATACGATAAGCACTCGCTTACACCCTGAACCCCCGGGGGGTCACATCAAAACCAATTTCAAAATTGGGTGACCTGCTGACACCGATGTCTATGCCAAATCGCACCAAAAGCACTACTGCATGCACTACTGGTAGGTGGCTAATCCGGTTTCCCACCAGAGTGCTTCTTCCATTATCTGCCCAGGGGGTACAGGTGTACTCACTTAGATCCTCTCTGTCAGGGATCCAGGTATGACCAGAGATGTGTGGACCGACACAGGGAAACGCAGACTTCAGGTATAGTATAAAACAATACAATTTATTAAAGGCTAAACAATACATAAACATAGTGCAAGGCTAAACATAAACACAGTGCAAACAAACCAAACCTCCAACAGATAATAATATGTACAGCACCAACCGTAGTCAGGCGTGCCGGGTTGGTAGCAAACGGGCAGACAAGGTACAAGGAATAGCCGAGGTCGGTACAGGCAGAGTTCGTGCAGAGTCAGGATCGAAGCAAAGTCAGGCTCAGGCAGGAAGCAGACAGGATGCAGGTACAGGGGCTCATGGGAACAATACACCAAGGCACTGACTGCAGGCCTGGCCATTTATTAAATACACCTCCTGCAATCAGTCTCAGGTGATGGCTTGATTGCAGGAGTGAGCTTCTGGCTGCTGAGAGCACCCGCTGGCCAGCCCTGGTACTGCAGCCCACACGGCAGGTGAGTCCCACCACCAGTGCTGAATCCATTCCTGGCAGTACCCCCCCCCCCCTCAAGGAGCGGCCTCAGGACGCTCCAAACAGTCCTTAGTGAGCAAAATGTTCCACCACCCGGGTCAGGTAACTGGCTGAATATCCTACTGCCGGAGTCTACCTGGCTGCGTTTCCTGCTGGTAGACTTCTCTTTGTGTAGGAGAACCCAGGAAGGCAGATAACTGGACACAGGATCTCCAGGAGCAGGCTGGGAATCAGTTATTGGCCAGTTTAGCTGGACATCAGGGGCTGGCAAATCAGGCTGGGCAGCGGGCACAGCAGGCTGGGCAGCGGGCATGTCAGGCTGGGCAGCGGGCACCGAGTCAACTGGCAGAACAGCGGGCACCGGGTCACCAAGCTCGACAGCGGGCACTGGGTCACCAAGCTCGACAGCGGGCACCGAGTCATCTGGCACGACAGCGGGCACCAAGTCATCTGGCACGACAGCGGGCACCGAGTCATCAAGCTCGACAGCGGTGCACCGAGTCACCAAGCTCGACAGCGGGCACCGAGTCATCTGGCTGGATCGGGTCATCAGGCTGGATCACGAAATACCGGGTCATCAGGCTGGATCGGGTCATCAGGCTGGGTAGGAACATCAGGCTGGGTAGGAACATCAGGCTGGGTAGGAACATCGGGTCATCAGGCATCCGGGCATCAGGCTGATCAGCGGGCACCGGGGCACCAGGCTGGATAACAGAAGGCGGGTTCTCAGACCGCAGGCTGACCGGTTTGGATACTGGCAGGATGGTGCTGGTTGGAAAGAATTTTCGCTTCTTCCTTGTTTTAGTTACTGGAGCACTGTAAGTAAATGCAGGTCTGTAAACAGAGGGGGCAGCTTCTACAGATGACTTCTTTACAGGGTTAAAGGCAGGATAGGTGCAGTGAGTGGGAACAGGGGACTGGCATGTGGTTGATAGCAGGGTATACTGGGCTGTCACTGGGGGTGCTGTCGGGAATGCAGGAATAGAGCTTTGAATAAATAGATTAGAAGCAGGACTGGGTTTTTGCAAGCTGACTGAGGCTGGGTGTAACAAGTCTGACCATGTCTAATACCGGTTGAACAAAGCTCAGCTTGCACATAGCCTGTCTGACCAAAGACTGCACTGCGCTTATGCAATCCACAAATGGTGGATCCATTCCTGACACTCTCCTGTACCGCTTGCGGGATGGCTGCTGCTACCAGGCCTATCAGATGGGCTGCTCCTTTCCTGCCATACAGGTGGTCCTCTCTCAGGGGACCAGTGAGTCCTGAATTGTCCTCTTTTCCAGCTCCAGGCTCTTCTGCAGGCAGGCCCCATCTCACTAGGTCTCTAGGTAGCCTTCCTCCTCCAGCTTTACATCTTCCTCCACTTATTTTCTCCTCTCCCACCACACTCCTGCTCCTGAACAGGCTCCAACACATTTATAAGAGTCCCAGCCCCTTGCCAAGCCTTCTGTTTGGGATTGGCTAAGATCCCTCAAGAGCTAGCTACTCCTCAGATCCACCCACTGCCTACAAGGCCCTCCTCCAAAAGCCTCAGAGCAGAGGGAAATTCTGGAGGGGCTGGCCTGCAGAGTCTCTCAGCCCTGACCACAATTTGACCCCTCTGGCTATCACACCTAAGCTGCTAACCAGTTCCTGACTAACCATTAGTGTCTGGCTCCCTCTATCTGTGGTAGGAGGAGGAATAGTGCCCCATCACTGGTATTAGTGGGAAGAACTGTACCCGATCGCTTTTACCAATGGAAGAATTTATGCCCCATTGTTGGTGTCAGTGGGAGGAATATTGCCTTATAGATGGTGTCAGTGGGAGGAAATTTTGCCTCACATTGGTGAGAGTAACAATGCCCTAAGGGCGGGACAAAAGCAAGAAAAGGGTTGCATTCCGGGCCACAGTTCAGGGACCACAGGTCTGAGACCACTGGGAGGTGAGATACAGCAATGAGTGACCTGTGCAGGATACTCATCACTGACCACCAAAGATTAAGGAGCACTCACCACTAATCACTAACATAAGGGGTATGTCACCACTGTCCACCAACACAAGAGAAATAACTGCTGAGCACATTTCCTACCACTGACATACTCATGACCACGGCACTTTGTTTTCGGTATTGTTCATTACATACTCTTCACTGTTGTATTGTACTGGTGTGTGTTTTTTAAGGGCAGGACAGCTGTCAGCAACACATCCAATATCATCACACTGATTGGAGTCAAGGTTGGCTCACTCCTGGCTCCAATTAGCTCTGGGAGAAGTCATTAAGCTAGGGCCTCACATACTTTTTCCTCCCTGCACTGTGAATGTTTACATGTTCTGTGCAATTAAACCATGGCAACATCTAATGTTTGTGTAGTATTATGTTCAGCAGACTGTGTTCTTCTATTGTTGTGACTTAGATGACATTCAGAGCACATTTTATGCCCAATTCATGCAAAACTCCACGTAATCCCAAGGGGTTCACATACTTTTTCTTGCAACTGTAATCCTGACCTCTGCACTGTGCAAGCTGTGCTATACATTACATCTCACCGCTGTATTCTCTAAACTGTGCTATATATTACACAGTCCTGATTGCTGTACTTAGCAAGTTGTGTTGCTTATTATATCCACATGACAGCTGCACTATGTAAGCTGTGCTGTACATTACATAGTCCTGATAACTTTACTCAGTAAATTGTGCTTTTCGTCACAGAGACTGGCATCAATTATCAGTAACAGAATTGCTAACAGTCCAAATTTCCTTCTTCTCTGACCCTGCCAGTGAAATAGTGGTCTATTGCTCTGCTCCCCTCTCTAGACACTGAGATTTAGCTTTGTTATGGCCAGCAAGGAAGACTCATCCATTAGGAAAAATGAAGGTGTACTTTTTTAATTCCCCAACCTCAAACACGTAACTTTTAATGCCTTAAATGCCACTAAAATGTAACTTAAAAAGTGAACCTAAACCAATTAATCCATAAACTAGCAGATTTTTGGAATGAAAATTCATATGAACATTTGTCCGAAAATTCTCTGTACTTTTGATGGCTTGATGAATGTCATTCGAAAGTACTTCAACAGTTAGCTTGATTTTAACATTCAATCTTGGACTTTACCACATGGAAACCCGCATACACTATTAGAAATGTGTTTGTTCAGGGAAAAAAAATCCCATCCCGTTCCTTCGAATGTTCTTTTCACTGCAATTGAAAACATTTATTTATCTCACCCTACTAATTAGAAAATCAAATGAATATTGGTAAAATGAAAATTTGCGTTTGAAAGTCAACTAGTGTATGCCCAGCCACTACCCACTACCTAACACCCCCTAAATACCCTAAGGGCTCATGTACACGGGGCATTTGGAAAACTCTTCTGAATTATGGAAACTGCTGGAAAACGTAGGTAATAAAACATCAGTTTAGCATACCGCGTTTATGTGCGTTTATGTGTGTTTGCATTTAGAAGCCTTTTTAAAAGATAACCTCAGGAGACCTTCCCAAATGCCCAGAATGCACTGAAAAAATAGTAAAATAATTAACCATTTCAGACATTTTGAGAGGAATAGAGAGAGCAGAAGCAGAGAGAGCAGTATGTGTTCAGATGACCTGTCTTTTCTGGTTGTATTCACTATGGATCCCATCATGAGCATAATGCAGCACGTTCTACCATTTCTTCCTTCACGTGAAACCTGGAACTGATTGCGCTGGAGTACTACATGGAAAACACTTTGCATGCTTTTCTGTTGATGAAAAAAAGCTCTGGATAGCATCTGGACATGGAACAGTTAAAAAACGCTACTAAACGCAAACGCTTATAAACGCGGTAAACCGCGTTTACATGCGTTTGGAGTTTGAAACGCTGGAAAAATCTACTCCTGAACTCAAGTTTGGTGCATTCAAAAAAAACGACTGTAAACTCAACAGCCTGTAAATGACTGTAAACTCAACAGCCTGTAAATGACTGTAAACGACGATGTGTACATTGACACATAGGAAAACATTAGGGAGAGTTCAGGGGCTGCTGAAAAAATTGCTGAACAGCTCCTGAACGTCAGTTTAGGAGCTGCAGTGTACATGAGCCCTAAAAGTGAAATGTATCTGTAACAAAATCATCTCACTTTGCAGAAGGAATTGTTTCCACTCTATCTCTAGAACAAGCCAGGTGTAGTTGTACCTGACACCAGTTCTCCTGGTTTGAGGGCTGTTTTTTCATCACTACAAATAGGGTGCTGCAGTAAATACAGGCTGGGTGCATGTTCCCCGAGCAGTCAGGAGTTTATGTGGGAATCTACTTGACAACAATCACTGTAAACAGAGTCAGCAGAGGAAGCCAGAATTTGAAGGCTGTCAGTTCTGTGTTTACAAGTGACAGAAGTGACTGACTGAGCTGCTGTCACAGCAATGTGCGGCTCCAAGCTGGAAGAGATCCGGATGGGCCCGGGCAGGCTGATTTAAAGCAGAATTAGCTGCATACTAGCAAATTATAGTAGATTACCTTGCAAGCTGTTAGAAATTCTGTATATAGCCCTACAAAACAGACAGTGCACAGTCCACATGTACTTTTCTGAAACAAGGAAACAGAAAATAAATATAAAGTATTATACATTTTTAAATATATAGATATACAGAAAATTATAAATAATGAATATATATACAAATAATTCTAAGTGATTGCTGCAGCTGTTGTCATGTGTTCCCACTCCAAAAAATTTCAGAATAGAAATTAAACTTCACACAATCAAACTATAAATCTATATCAGTGATTATTAAATGGCGTATCGTGGTCCGAACATGGACATGATGACGCTCCTGTCCGGACCGTCAACCCGCCAGTCTAAAATGCCAGATCCCAACCACTCAGCAGTCATTGGTTGCTGGGACCGCGGGGGTGTCCCAGTAACCAATGTCATCACGTGCAAGCCCCGCCCCCTGCTGCTCGCTATTTCTTCCGGCTTCCCTGCCTGCCCGCAAGCTATAGTCATGTGTGTGCCACGCCCCGCCCCCTTCAGCAAGGCTCTTGGTGCAGCTCCCCCCCCCCCCCCAGCTTGCTGCCTCTGCTGTCTCCAGCTCCCTGCCTTCCCTCAAGGTGCGAGATGTGTGTACTTCAGAGTCTCACAAGGGCATGCTGATGAACACTTTATGTTAAGTTGCACACTTATGGACACTTTACATTAAGGGGCACACTGATGGACACTTTACGTTAAGGGGCACACTGATGGACACTTTACATTAAGGGGCACACTGATGGACACTTTACATTAAGGGGCACACTGATGAACACTTTACATTAAGGGGCACACTGATGGACACTTTACGTTAAGGGGCACACTGATGAACACTTTATGTTAAGTTGCACACTTATGGACACTTTACATTAAGGGACACACTGATGGACACTTTACATTAAGGGGCACACTGATGGACACTTTACGTTAAGGGGCACACTGATGAACACTTTACATTAAGGGGCACACTGATGAACACTTTATGTTAAGTTGCACACTTATGGACACTTTACATTAAGGGGCACACTGATGGACACTTTACGTTAAGGGGCACACTGATGGACACTTTACGTTAAGGGGCACACTGATGGACACTTTACGTTAAGGGGCACACTGATGGACACTTTATGTTAAGTTGCACACTTATGGACACTTTACATTAAGGGGGCACACTGATGGACACTTTTTAAGGGACACACTGATGGACACTTTACGGGGGACACACTGATGGACACTTTATGTTAAGGGGCACACTGATGGACACTTTACATTAAG